TGATCTGAAGACAACTTGAAATGTCAAAATATGGATTCAAAGATCAAATACTTAGGCATGCCCTTATCATGGAGAAAAGGAAATCGGAATCCTTAGATTTCACTCTACAAATAAAATTTTAAGTCAAAATTGAACAGATGGAAAGCATCATCTCTTCCATATGCTGGTAGGAAAGCCATGATACAATGTTTTCTTAATATATTCCAACTTACTACATGAGTGTGATAATGTTTCCTTAAAAAATGTTGGAGGAAAAGGAAGGGGTCCAAAGAAGATTCTATCGGAATGAAAAAGGAGAAAAGAAGATAAGTGGACAAGCTGGAGGAACATTTTTAAATCTAATGAAGAAGGTAGGCTTGGAATCAAACGTACTAACTTAATTAACAGCACTTTAGATTAAAAGATAGCTTGGTGTTTTTAAATGAGAGAGATCATAAGCTTTGAGTCCAACTGTTGAAAAGTAAATACCTCTCTATTCATGAATGGATTCCCAAAAAATTTCCCTCATCTGCATCTATGACTTTGAAGAACATTGCTCAAGAATTGCATGAGTAATCTCCTATTGGTGTGAAATTTTTAATAAATTATCATGCAACATAATTCACTCAATTGAGTGACTATGGCTCCCATTTAGGGAGTCATACGTATTGTTCTCCTTAATTACATTTTCAAAAGAAAGTGGAGAACACCTTATGATTTTGCTTAGAAAAATGAATGCATAGAACAAAAGAAAAGAACAATAGAGTACTTCTTAAAAAAAAAGAACTTTTCATTTGCATTTCCTTTACATCAAGTGTACAAGAATGAGAAGAAAAAAGAGAAAATACAATTGAGAAACTATTATACAACTATATACTTCTATGTTTTCCTTTCTTTTTGATACAAAGAAGATTTTCTTCACAATAAGTTGTAGTCAATTAGATGAAATGCTGACTGTAAATAGTCTTAATCTTTTGGATTTTTGCATACAAAAAGAGAACCATAGTCAATCAAATTGAATATTTGATTGTAGACGGTTTTTATCCTTTTGTTCTTCATTTTCATTTGAAGGGAACCATAATCATCCCTTAAGAATTAGACTCTAGATGGTTTAATCCGAACTTGTCTTGAAAGAACGATCATAATCAACCAAGTAGAAGCACTTGGTTGTAGATAGCTTATTTCCCTCTTTTTTTTCTCAAAAATAAAAATAAAAAGAGAGAGAGAAAGAATGATGCATAGTATAAGACATATATAGGAAGTATTCATGGAGAGGACTTTCCTTTTCCCACATGTATTAGTGAGATTTCTTTCCCTTCCTTATCCTCTCTTAAGCACTTCTCTTTTTTCTTTATCTTGGCTTTTTTTAAGAATCTCTTGAGATATAATTTCTCTGAAAAAGGGGCCTTATATGGACATTTTTATATAGTTACAATGATTCGGGTTATGAATTATTTAAATATTATATGGATATATTAAAAGAATCTTTCAGCATCCTCATCTTTGGGCTTTCAAGTTCATAAATGGCCGGATCTAGGTATCTGCAACAACCCTTGGACCAAAGTAGAAGATGGTTTTGCTTGTCCTATAGGTCCTCCCCAAGGGAGTTGAACGACTTAACCTTGAAAGAGTTGATTGTTCAGGAGTCAGGGGAATGGAATATGTAGGTGTTTACATTATACCTTTGAACCAGGAGAAGTGGATGGAATAGTAGGACACACATGTTCCAAAATTAGTAGAACAAACAAAGTAATTTGTTTACAAGAAAGTTTACCAGTCTGTGGAACCTAGAGAGTCTGTACACAGGCACAACAAACCAAGAAGTTGAATCGTGTTTGGAAACACAAAATTCCMCCTAGATTTAAGCTATTCCTTTGGAGAACTTTAAAAACTTCATCTTGACTAAACAGGTTTTAGTAAACAGGGAATTACCCAGGATTCAGCTTGCACATTTTGTCAAGGGGAGAATGAGTCATTATGTCTTCTTCTTACTGAGTGCCCCTTCTCAAGAGCCACTTGGTTTGCCAGCAGCTGGTCAGAGGTCTTTAGGAAAGMAATAGGTTTCTCCTCACTCCAATAATTCTTTGATTTCCTATTTTCAGATTTRTATAGGAAGAAATGAGAAAATCTTTATGAATTCTAACCCACACCCTGATGATGTGATGGACAGTGCTTGCTTCTGTTCTTGATGACATCTGATTGTTCTAGTCTTAYGGGAATGCTTAACTGTAATACCTCCTTGAGACAAGACTTTATAAAGGATGGTGCTAAATTTTACTGCAAAATTTTGATTTGTGATTTTAAATGATAAGATTTGCTTTTTTGGTTGTTGTTTTCTGAATTCTTATATCTCTTTTATTCTGGCTCCAGGAGGGGGTGTAGGTGATTTCAGTAGCCCCTTGGAAGCAGAATTAGGGCCTATTTCGAGAGGGCTGATATTGCTACTCAGCATGGATGGGATAATGTGATGGTGATCTCAGACTTGCAGGTGGTTATAAAGTTATTTTTTGGACATGCCCAGATAAGCTGGTCTGGATTTTAGAATTGACTAAATCTTCTTGTGTAGTGAAATTTGCATATAGACACAGAAAAGTTACTCTAGCTACACATTCTGTAGCAGAGAGGGCAAAATATTTTGTTAGGGGCAGATGTTGGTTGTTTCATCCTTCTACAACGTTGGAACTCTTTCTTTGTAATTTTTAATATCCTTGTTTTAGTTTCTAATGGAATTCACCGTTTCAAAAAAAGTGATTGTAGCCCATGCATTTTATCACTAAGCATGGGACGTAGTTACAAAGCCCATAATACAGCCATTGCATTTACTGAATCCGGCCGGTCTCCTATTAACATCTCTGATCCGGTTTGATTATTCAGTCCACTACCACTCACAGCAAACTTATTTAATCTGCTTTGCTATGATTATAATTTTTTTCTTGAAAATGACTATGAGGCCTGTTCCATTTAACCAAAACAGAATATAGACTACAGAGTGACATATCCTGAAGCAAAATGGGATTGATTCAATCAAATACAATATCAAACTGAGTCCGGATCTGCTGATCACAACACATTATTGGCCAAGTTCACCTTGCCGCGCATCAGGAATATCAGTGATGTAAAGTACAACCTACGTTCAACCTATGCTCCCGATGTGTGGCTGGATGAACATGCCCAGCAATGTATTGTGGTCAGCAGATCCGAACTCATGGGAACTAAGAATAACAACTGTTATTCACCACCCATCTTCCAAGCTTATGGGCCACACAATTGCATGGTATGGGGACAAAAGAAACAGTGACATCCAGACATCTAGAGAAGATGAACAGTGAACTATAATGGATCGAACAAGCTGGACCCTAAGAGGATACCTTAATTGCAAATGCCTCACCAGAGGAGTGCAAACTTACTGTATCATATTATCCATTTGTTTTCATTAGATGGTCTATTTAAACCCTTTTTTTATATCTCTTGATTTCAACTAGAATGCAAACCCCTTTTTTACATGTTCCTCTGATTTTAATGCTAAAGGATTAATACTTTAGGTAATATTTGACTTTAACGCAAAGGAGAAGGTATCCAATAAACAGAAATATAGAAGCGGTGCAAGGTCTTAGGATATAAAGCATTAATACGAACAGATGAGTAATAAAAAATAGCAAAATCAAGATTTGAATACCTGTGCATATTTCATCAAATTTTGCCATGACATGCTCGCTGCAATCACTTGCAGATAAAGCAAAAGTTTTCCCTCCATTCAGAGCACTGTCCAATTCTTTCTTAAAAGTACTTAAGGTTATACACCGTTGATGATCCAATAGGCCTTGATAAGAGCGTTCGAATAGCTGAAAATATTTGTGAAAGAGAAATAATGATAATAGAACATAGGCTAACCATTTTCTAAATCTTTGCAACCTTCTATATATAATTCATAAAATGATCATGAATTATGAAAATGATTATGACAACCTTGGATTACAAATGYYCCGTAAAACCAAACTTAAATGATTGAAATTAAAGATTACAAACTCATGCGAAGTATGAGATGTTCAACAGAAGAAACCTACACCATCTTACATTTTTCATGCAATTTGGACCCTGTACTTTTTACATGCTCGAGACTCTTGTATTACTAAAAAATCCAAGAAATATCATTACAAAGTTTTATACTTTACAAATTTGTATTTGTACTCCTTCCAAATTGAGCTTTAAGGGTTAGGTTATGAAACCTTAGGGTTATGTGCTACATTTACACTCTACTGTGCTTTAATATTTTCAATACCACAAAACATATTTTGGTAGAATAAAATTTGTGTATTAATTCGTATCTATATTAGTATTAGTATTATTTAACTAGTAAACAATCTAAAACAATCCTTAAATCATATGGAAGAGTAAATGAGACATTTCTTACTTGCCGCGCTTTCTCTTTCAAGCTCTCTCGCTTTTCTGCTCTAACACTTTCATCAAAATAAATAGTTTCGTTGTCATACCTACAAACACAATAGTCAACTCGTTAACCCAATAATCGACCTAGATACTTCAGTATCGCTCATTGGGAACATTGACAATAAAATATTATATAACACACCGTCAATCTTTCTACGAGTAAATATAACCCAAAGTAATGCGATATTTCATTACATGGAAAATTTGTAATATAGAATTTAAGAGGAGGATCAATTATGTTACGACATATTTTTGAAGCCTGGTATTAAGAAAATTTCTTTCACAATGGACAGGATTACAAGGCTTGTACAAATAAGCAGTAAGAAAATGAAATAAAACTACACTGAACTCGCTGAACAAAAGGCAATAGTGAGCACAGGAGTGAAAAAGCTCAAGATATCTCTGCTAATTGCACAAAATTTCAAAAATGCCAAAAAAAAGGAAGGCTTACCTCCAACAGAAAATGGTTCATGAAGATAACTCGCTTACATATTCTTTTCTCCAAGGAAAGATGTATCCAAAGAATTCTACATCTCGGGACTTTATTGTTGCGTTGTATTTGACAACATTTTCAATTGTTTTAATTATGAGGAGCTAATAAATCGCACTGTTTTGTGCATATCCAATGAACGCACTGTCATAGGTTTTTGATCCTAATTTCTTTCTTTTAAGTTAGGGTATTCCATCCTTTTCTAGGCAGTCCCAAACTTTTAGATAGTTTAAATTAGGTTTTTTGTTATACCAAAGTTCAAAAGGTATTTGTCCTTTTCTTCTTGGGTGGTATTCTATTACATAGGTGACAAGATGTTAGGATTGTTTGCCCCCACAATTTTAGAAGTGCTCTTGAACTAATGAGCATTGCATTCATCATTTCTTTTAATGTTCTGCTCAGTCTTTCTGTAACTCTATTAGGTTCAGGTTGATAGGGATGTATGGTTTTATGTACGATTCCATTTCCTCCAAAGAATTTTTTAATGGTTTGTCCATCATATTCAATCCCTTTATATGTTCTAAGTCTTTTTATTTTCTTTCCTAACTAGTTTTCTATTTTAGTTTTGTAATTTATGAAAGCTTAATCAGCTTCAACTTTTGTTCTAAGTAGAACTACTTTTGAATATCTAAATAAATCATCTGTAAATGTTATATAGTATCATTTTCTTCCTATAACTTCATGACATTTAAAATTTCATAAATCACTGTGTATAAGTTGTAACAATCTAGTTTCTCTTTGTACACTTTTACGAAGTTAGTAAATTTTGCTTTTACACATACTTGGCATTTTTCATTTATAAAATTAATAGGAATATTCAAAACTCTTAATTTGCATAACCATTTTAAATAAGAAGCACTACGATGTCCTAGACTAGCATGCAAAATATCAAAAAATTCAACAATATAAGTAGAAGAATATGCAGTTTTATTCATAACAATATAAAAAATATTCAATACAAACAATCCTCCAGCATTGTATCATTTTCCAAAAAGTACATTATTTTTAGTCAACATGGCCTTATTTGCTTCAAATGTGAGTTTCAATTCTGCTTTTTTTAAGAGTGCTCCTGATACTAAGTTTCGTCGAATCTCTGACACATACAACACATTGTTCAGCATTAGAATTTTTCCTGAAGTCAGTTTCAGGAGCACCTTTCCTTTGTCAATGACCTTCGAAGTTTGTGAGTTTCCCATGACAAGTTGCACTCTTTCAATTTGAATTGTATACTCATAGAAGGAACTATGGTCCCTACAAATGTGCTTGGTAGCATCAGTGTTCAGTACCTACTCTTTCAGCTTATCAACTAAGTTTATCTCAATTACCATGTTTGTGATAACATCCTCAATCAAATTGATTTTCGGTTTCCTAGAGTCCTTCTTCTTTTGATATTGACATTCCTTTTTGTAATGTCCGAGTTTGCCACATAAACAACAATTTCCTTTCATTTGTTGCTTCTTGACTTTTTTGTCATTTTTTACATTCAATTTTTTTTTTGGATTTTGCAATCTTTTCCTCCACCAGATTGGTTTTGAAAAATTGGTCATCATCTTTCTTTTTGTTCTTTTCTTCTATCTTAATTTGAACCACTATTTAGTCCAAAGTAATGTCATTTCTTTTATGCTTCATATCGATCTTAAAACCATTCCATGTATGTGGTAGTTTCTCCATGAGAGAGTTGTCAATGAATTCATCTAGCAGTATCATATCTTCTTTTGCTAGTTCCCCACAAACACATCCATGTTTTCTTTTATGGTGAAGTACAGAAAGTTAACAATGACATATTTCTTTTTTCCACCATTTTCTAGAGCATACTTATTGTCCAATGCATTCCAGATTTCATAGGCATAATTGTAGAGAGAATAAACATTATACAGTTCATTGGACAAGCAGTTTAGGATATGGTTGGTGTAGAGGTGGTCAGCTATAATTTAGTGTTCTTCAGCAACAGAATGGACTAGTTCCTCCATATTTAGTGGGTTTGGTTTGGTCAAGGCAAAAGCTATCCCTAACTGCTCTAAGGCAAATGGCAGGCATTGTCTCCAACACTTGTAGTTGGATCCATTGAAGGGTTTAGTCTTAGAGAAATTGGAAACTGTTGACAGTATCTAGTTCCTAATGAAGGGGTTAGCAAAGATAGGTACCATAAGTTCAGTTTTAAATTGTTATAAAAATAGTAAAGAGGCATAATGGAACTTATTGGTAATTGCTTTCCAAACCGAACTTGCAGTGTTGTGATGTTGTAGAAACTCGGAGAAGGACTCAGTTGTGCCACTTAGTCACTCTCCTTAAAACTACATTTGCCCCCTACGATGCAGCTAAGTGATAGCAAATTGGTCACCAAGATAAAATAGCATACAAGCCACGGGTAGGCCTGCACTCGCTTACTAAGCTCCATGAACCACAAAAGATTGATGCTTAGATTTCAGAGAAGACAGAGAGTCGAAAAATTGTTATGTGTTGACTGGATTGGCCAACACTCTTCTTATAAAGTGCTCTCAGACCCGAATGGACATAGATGTGTCTTTTTAAATAGGAGCCTCTTTAGAACATTGCCATTTTTATTTAAAATTAAATTCAAAAATGAAGAGACAATTTAAAATTGAAAATCAGTTAAAAGAAAAAAGATTCAGTGCATTGTGCATATATGCACATGCACATGCACATGCGCCCTGGCTTGACTTAGCTCATGTTGTGAAAAGCACCCCCAACCCCTCTTACATGTATAGAACATCTATAGTGCTCTCCTCCTATGGATCCCTACCCATAGAGAAAGCAAAGCTACAAATATAATAAATTTCCACTCATTTCCCAAGCAATGTGAGACAAGTAGTCTTCTTATGTACTCAAGGGTGAGAAGAGAAAAGACAAAATCAAGAGGGTGGAAAGAGATTCTTAAAAATTTGAATCTCCCTCCAACAGCCTCTCTTTAACCCTTGTAGTTTACAATATAAACTCATCTAGACTTTCACACCAAATGGAAAATCTACATTTGCTTCAATAATGTGTATGCACTTGCTTTTTTTATTTTTTGGCCTTGCTAGAGATCTCTTGGAAGGAGTACCTTTGTCCAATCTCATGGAAGAGTTCTCTCGTCCACCAAAGCAATATTGTGAGTCTAAAAAACTGGGCCAATACCTTAGACAATGGGGTTAGAGGACTGCACAACAATATATGCACTTGCTTCAACTCTTAGCCCTTCCCAACTTCCTTCATCACCAAAACCTTCTTCTAAATAGAGGACCTCCATATAGAGGTTGGCTTTCGCCATCGAGCTGGGCTTGGATTTTCAGTCCTCAAGTTAGGCTCGGTTTCAAGAAGTCGAGCTTTTTTATTTTTTCAGGTTGGTCTTAGGCCTAGCCCTTTGGTAGCTTAAACCCAGCCCAATTATATACATTTATACATATATATGTGTATATATGTAAATGTTGCATGCATATTTATATATATACATACAAGTTTGTATATATAACATTTGTATAGATATTTTGCATACATATTTGCATACATACATAAATATATGTATCAAATTACAGAGTGGGTTCATTGACCAATCCGAACTTGGCCCGGGCCTGAGTCCAACCTGAATGCATCAAATTACAGAGCGGGTTGGACTCAGGTTAAGAAAATCGGGCTTGACCTCAGGTTTGAACATTAAGACCAAATTTTTGGGTCGGGCCTGGGTTGACCATAAACCCGGCCAAACCCATCCGACTTGCTCCCCTAGTAAATACCGTCCATCGAAGCGTCTCCCCTTTGAGTCACATGACACTTAAAAAAGTCCTTTGGCCCATTATCCTTCGTCTTTAAGCTTCTATCAAGCCCAGCTAACGAATAGTTCTAATTAGATAAATTAGTCGCAGCTTTTGACCACTAAAATTAGAGGTGGCCTTGGGGTTCATTGATTCAACTAGGCCCAATTTGGCTTCTCTGCATGTCCCCCTCTTTATAATCCACATCAATTTTGGCCTTTCTACCTAAAACAACCTGTGAAAAAGTTCTGCCATTTGTTAGTGGGTTTTCTTCCTCTCTAGTCCTTTGACCTTCCTCCATAAACCACGTAAGACATCTTCTTCAACCTTCTCAACTCCCTCTATGCAAGCCTCCTCCTACAAGCTAGCTTCAATGCAGGAAACCAGGCAAAGTAGTGCATAGTACCCCTCAGTTCTTATCTCTACTTTCCTTGGGATCTCTTCGGTTTACACCAGTTAACAAAACAGCCACAAAATGAGCTTCACCCCAATAAGCTCCCTCTAATCGTCCTCCACGCATCAAAGCTCTACACTCTACCACTTTTTGCTTCTACAAATGGAACAACAGACCTATGACACGCACCAGCACATCATCTTCAACAAAGAATTCCTTTGAGTTAGATTTCCGGCTCCATTTGAATAGAGTAAGGTTCCGACCTCAGATTGAATTGGATCAAGCGTGCATGCTAATAGATGAATTTCGAACAATGCAAAAAATGTGTCTCTACATGTTGGTATAGGTTAGTAGGTAGATTGACTTCAGGGTGCTGATTTCTTTTGAGATGATTGATAGAACCAATCC